TTTATTACGACAAAATAACAAAAATAACTTCAAAAATATAAGTTTAGACTTCTTAAAAAAACTTATCTGATAAACAATTATTTTTACTACTTAAGTATATAATATCCATAATCAAATTATAAAGAAACCTTTTTTTATTATTATGTTCCAGAGTGAGATCGGTCCCTTCTCATGAAAATACAATACCCATTTTTACTATATATCCAAAAATCACTATCTTTGGAATGTCAAATCAATATTCTTTCTTAAAATTACAGCATAATTTTAAGTCAATACTTATTTTTTGAGATCTACTTAAACATCACTTTTTTGCCATTGCACTTATTCTTATCAAGGCTAACTATTATACTTACACACTATAACAAAAATAAAGTAACAAAATAATCTGAAACTCAAATTAAAACTAGTAATGAATCACAACGTTTAGGATATTAGAAACATTATTTAAAAGGCAAGTTATCATAAAAGTTATGACAGTCTCTTGGTATGACACTCTTGAGCTCCTGCAGATGATGGTACTTTGTGGTGGTTATTGGTTGTCTAGATTGATAAAGTGAAGGCACACTATCTATTGAAAGTATTTTCTTTGGTCTTCTAGGCAAAGGCGTAAAGTTATGTGTGAAGTGGAGCTTATAGTCTATTGTACCATTTGGATTATACCTGAGTGCTCTTATGTCAACGACACAGTGATCACCCGCCCCACGACCAGGCCTGATTGATTCGTAAATCAGATAGTCTTTAAGACCGAAGTCTTTAAAAAAAGTAAAATCTGGTGTAATAACTTCATAAGGACTTGGTACTTTCCTTGCCTCTTTCGTAATAGTCGCATATTGAGAGGGTAAAAACACTTCTCTATTTTTCAATTTTCTCTCAATCACAGAGTGAACTGAGTCCACTTCCATCTGCGTGTGGCCTTTCTCCAAGTATTTCTGAGTTATCACTATGTTCTTGGCCATAGCTAAACGCAATAATGCATTCGATACAATATTGTTTCTATTTTGGGCGGTACAGCCATCTGTAAATATTACGACATCCTTGGGATCATCATCTATTAATTTTGTCAAATAGTCCACAAATAATGTAGCATAGGTAGTCGATTTTAAGTCGCATACCGTTTCGTCGAACCAGTAACACGTGACTCTATTATTCCCCAGGTTGTAGACTGTAAAGTTATGCACGGCTAGTTTTGTTTTAAAATATAGGGCACTGGCATTGAGGCAAGGACACAGTTTTACAGCCTGAAGATCTGCTGTTATTGCATGTATATTTCCTTTCTGTGCTGCTTCTTTGTCAGAACTTTTTTCAGCTCTGGCTAAGTCTTTTAGTTCAATATGTTTGGTATACTGCGCATCTGATATATTGCCTGCTTTGTGAGCGCAACACTGGTCGCATGCATCTTTTTTTGGTTGAAATATTGCGATATTCTCTTCAAATAAAGCACCTTCAAATACCTTTCTTGAAGCCACCGGTTCATTTCTTGAAACTGAGTAATCTACATAAAGACGATACAATTGCGACTTTGACTGTATGATGGGCTCCAAATATAATTTCGAGGAAGATTGTCTACAATAATGAGACGGCAGCTTCGGTAGAGCAATCAAATATTTTTTAGCTAAATCTTTTTTGGGTTCTTTGACAATTACTTCTCTTTGTTCAGGTTCAAATTCACTTTTATTCATCTTCTCTCCTAGCCAGTATCTAACGGTCCATTCTTTTATACCTAGTGTTTCCAGAAATGTTTTTTGGCAAACTCTTTCCTTTTTATCATTCACCTTTAAAAAATATTTTTTGGTATCGCTTCGCCTTGAATTTGAGCCTTTAGTTTTCCTGGTGGTAGGAATCTGATCCACCATTGAAGATACGTACATTTTCTTTTCTTGCCAACTCATTTTCCAATAGGTTTTAAAAATTTCTGACCTGACTTCTTCTGTTAATTTCGAACAATACATAGCTTTTCCACTGAAACATCGCATTGACATACATATTGGACCCATTATTCGTGCTGGTTTAGGATTATTTTGTATAAATTTAAAGCCATCTTTTTTAAATCCGATGTACTCTTCTCCTAACATTCTCTGTCGCTTATTTTTCATCCTTTTCCAATTTTTTTGATCCCCTTTGCGCTTTTTTTTGTTTGTTTTCGACTTTTCTTCTATTTCCCTTTCAGGGAACCATTCCATATTTTCTGGCGATAAAGGCTTTAAATTTGTTATATCTGAGAGGGCGACATAAGAAGGATCTGCGACAGAATCGTCAGACGAAAAATCAAGTCCGTCATTGTGCTCTACTACATTAACATTCAATTCAAGAGGAGTAATTTTATTTTCTCTTTGTGTTGGTACAGTACTTAAAAGTGTTGTAAATGTATTAAATTCGGATGTTATATCGTGATTTTGTTCTTGCTGTAATATATTATCTGACGAAGGTTTTGAATCTGATTGCAATGGTGGTTGATTGTGGTCATTATGTTTTCTTATTATTTCCTCTTTCTTTTTCAGTAAAATGTTTCGCCTTTCTAACAGATCTTTCAATGAAATCACGTCGTCGGCAACATCAGCATTTTCAAAAGGAAAACTATGATTGTCTTGATTTTCCATTATTATTTGCACCTAAAAATAATTTTAGTATGTTAGTATGTAAGTATTGTAAATTTAGTATTGTAGAATAAAATACCGCGTAGATGAAAAATTTTATCAAATCATGAAGTTTTAAAACCGCGTAATTACAAGATGGAGGTTATGTTTGCTAGAATCATTAAAATAATTAAATAATTACACGAAGCTACATTACCTAAGCTTAAACTATTGATAAACATACACGTTAAACAATAAAAACATACTTACATGGGGGTTTTCCACGGTAAAACAGTCGTAATCGGGAACACGCCCTAACCGCGTTGTAACTTCTTCGCCGGTTCGGTAAATACGCGGACTTGCTGCCAACTTCAGACGCACTGCTGTTCCGCGGTATTGTTGCGATGTCAAAATCAAGGTTCCTTATTGGCTAATTCAAAATGTGTCTAATCCACTACAAGCCAATACGCGTTATGAATCCATTGGCGAGATATTTCAATTTTGCGCCTTTTGCTGTTACGCGGTATTAACAAACTGCTCTTCAGCGGTATTGCACGCGCATCGACGATATGTCGAATCGACTGATTCTCTCCTCGGGTGATCAGAGGGCTGGCAGCTATTTCGCGCAGAGAATCAGTTTAGCCGTTAAGCGAGGTAATGCTGCCAGTGTTCTGGGTACCATGCCCCAAATTGGAATTTTGGATGACATATTCCTCTTGTGAATATGTATATATTAATATTCTAGGGTTAATATTTAATGATAAGTTTTTAGTTTGATATTGTTGCGACGTAAAAATATTTTTTAAAATTAAATTTCTACAACACTTTAGAACGAGAACATTGATTGTTAGTTCCTTTATTTTTGTCGTTACGAACACACTCGGCGGTGATCACAGTAGGAGGAGAACGGATCATCGTGCAACGCGCGAAGTGCACGAAATCCGAGTCGAGACTGTAGAATGTAGAACTGAGAGAATAAAATAAAAATGGTATCTGTGTTTTCAATTTTCAAAACTACCCTCATAAAATAAAGACATAGCATGTTGAATTTTTAAATAGTGCGTCAACGCACGCCTACACTTTATAGAACACTAAGGTATATTTTTTTAGAACACGAATTGGTATGGCGCTTGTCCTGATTTGTTGTCCGATCGGAGTACGCGTATGTTGAATATGTGATTGAATCATTTTGTGGTTTCAACTCTTAAGTATTTTTGATACATATTTGTCAAACGGCTGAACTGATTTTAATGATTTAGGTATTAAATGAAAGGTATAGATCTCTCCAGTATTAAAGCGTAGGTACATATATAAAATGTGAATAAAAATCAAGATAGCGACCGTGAGCTTTTATGTTGGGACTTATTGCAGTGCGTTAGGGATTTCATTATTTTTTGCTCGAAAGTGGAAAATAAGTACAAGATTTTTATTTATATTACATTTTTTACATAACTACATGTAAGTATATCACGCCTGTCTCTCAGAGGGGTAGGCAGAGATTATGGAAAAGAATACAGGGGTTAAAATCGTAAACGGAATGAGAGACGAAACAGCACGTAGATCGCGTAGACATACACATATAAACGACTAAAATGGCGGCATGCACGCCGCGCCGGCCGCTGCCAGGTAGCGAGCGGGAGAGTGAGGGGGAGGGGAGAATGCTGTGTTTTGCATCTACTCATCTATTCACAGAATTAAGCTATAATTAATACTTGCTAGGTAATAATAACAATTTGTAAACCTAAATATATACTTTTTTACCTAAGTAACTATGCATATAAAAAAAACAGGTACATACCTAGCTATATAAATATTATTAAGCAGTTTTTGCTGATGTAGATGAGTTCACATAATTCGTTTTAGCTTAGTAATCACAACAAAATACGTATTTTATTGATTTTTTGCGTACTATCCGATGTACCATACATCTGTTTCCAAATTTTTTATCACATAATGCCAGCACTCATTGAGCACTAAATTATTAACCGTTGATTATCATAGATCTTCGATCCAGAGTGATGTATTCAACCCGGTCATTTGCTCAGACTGCCATACTAGCAGTTTCGATTGCTAAAAAATAAAATATTTAGTGTTTTTTCGAATTTTTTTATCACATACTGCCAGCACTCACTGAGCACTAAATTATTAACCGTTGATTATCATAGATCTTCGATCCAGAGTGATGTATTCAACCCGGTCACTTGCTCAGACTGTCATACTAGCAGATTTGATTAATAAAAAATAAAATTTCCAAATTTTTATCACGTACTGATAGCACTCATGAGGCGAACGAGAGAACGAGACGAAGGCGAAGTGCGCATCTCCCCGCTTTCTGCGGCCGCACATATTAATAGTTGGTGCAATAGGACGACCGACACAACCGGCCATCAGACGCGACAGTACTGGGACGTTTATATAGGTACTCACCCCTACATCATTGGGTGACGGCGAAGTGCGTAACTCTCCGCTTTCTGCGGCCGCAGATATCAACAATCGGTGTAGAAGGGAAACCGACGAGCGGCGAACGGCCGCGCGTTCGTCACACACGCATCTCGCACAAACGGCCATTAGACGCGATACTTCCCCATCGCCGTTAAGTTCCTGCAGACAAAAGTAGCCAGGTATTGTTTCTAGTATCAAGTCGAGCGGATTTGAATAGGATTGTAGATCGACTGGGTGGGGTAGTTGTAAGAGACGAATTTTAATGAAATCATGCATTGTTAAATTATATTTAAACACATCAATTAATTTACACAAATAAAGTTAAGAATTTAGGCGCCTATCATTTTCGATCATTCAATTTCATTTCAATTGTTTAAAATTGGGGTGTAAGGGGTTCTAAATACACCTGCAAGAACCCAAGCCAACCTCACCTTCACGTGGTGCACCCTGTTGACCAACAGACGAGGCTCTGGCAAACCGACCGATGGCGGTATAACCATCTAATGACGTAGGGGAGGAAAATCTCACTGGTGACGGGCAGCAGCGTCATCAGTAAATAAACCTACGCTCTGCGATCGCCAACCCGCCTGCCCAGCGTGGCGATTATGAGCAAAAATTTCTATGCACAAAAAACACAAGCCACGGCCTCCAGTTCCGGGCAGCCCCGCTATTCCTGGTCACGGTGGCGACCGCCGTAACGGTGGGGCGGAGGGTGCCAAGAATCTCCGGGCTACTGGAGGCCACCACAAAAGACTGACCCTGGCGACGTACAACGGACGCACGCTACGGCTTGACTCGCATCTGGCGCAACTCGAGGTGGAACTTGGAAAGATTAGGTGGCACATTTTAGGGTTAAGTGAAGTCCGAAGAGAGGGGGAGGACACCATAACCCTCGAATCGGGCCACCTAATGTACTTCCGCGGGGGAGACCAACAGTCCCAAGGTGGCGTTGGGTTTTTGGTAAATAAGTCCCTTGCCGATAACGTTGTGGAAATGTCCAGCGTGTCGAATAGGGTAGTGTACCTTATTATAAAGCTCACCGAGAGGTATAGCCTCAAGGTGGTGCAAGTGTACGCACCGACCTCGACACACTCGGACGACGAAGTGGAGGATATGTTCGATGATATATCGAGGGCCCTCCACTCCACTACTAAGACCCACTACAACGTTGTTATGGGGGACTTCAACGCTAAAGTGGGAGTACAGAATTGCAGCGAATCGGTAGTAGGATCCCATGGATTTGGAAGTAGAAATCATAGGGGGCAAATGCTCGTCAACTTCCTCGAACAGCAGGGGCTCTTCTTGATGAACTCTTTTTTCAAGAAAGAGCCCCAAAGGAAGTGGAGATGGCAAAGCCCCGACACTATGACTAAAAATGAGATCGATTTCATCATGACGAACAAGAGGTACATATTCAGAGACGTCTCCGTGATCAACAGGTTCAATACCGGTAGTGATCACCGACTCGTCCGGGGCTCTCTGAATATCAACTTTAAGGCCGAGCGCGTCCGTTTGATGAGATCTAGGCTCTGGTTGGAGGACTTTGCTCCAATCTATAACAGGATCTGAAACGTGCCAGTCAAATCTGGAGAACCGATTTACTGCCGTGGAAACCACATCAGACGTAAACCAAAACCTCAAAAATGTGGTTCGGATCCTCAGGGAAGAGGGTACTGGATTATGTGCAACGCAGCGTAAGGGCAGGAAGTCAAAGCTTTCGGAAGAGACTTTAGGGCTAATGAAGGAACGACGTGAAAATCCACCCGTCACTTCGTCGGCAAAGCGCACTCTAAACCAAGAGATCAGTAAGCACGTACGACACGACCTCCGATGCTCCAATACTCTCTCGATCGAGAGAGCGATCGAGCAGAATCGAGGGTCCAAAGTGTTCGTACAATCTCTTGGGAGAAGCCATCTGACGAAGTTGACCACAGCAAGTGGGGAAGTTGTGGCTTCAAAGCCGGCAGTCCTTTCGGAAGTGGAAGACTTCTACAGCTAGTTATACGCATCACATGCATCTCGACCCGATCCCGGAAATGAGGATTCTAGAGCCACATTAACACGCCACTTCACTGAAGACCTGCCAGTCAGTATTGGCGAAATCGAGATTGCTCTTGGACAGCTTAAAAATGGAAAAGCCCCTGGAGAGGATGGTGTTACAAGAGAACTCCTGAAGGCTGGAGGTAAACCCGTACTGAGGGAGCTCCAAAAGCTTTTTAACACTGTCCTGTTCGAAAGGAGAACTCCGGAGGCGTGGAGTAGGAGTGTGGTCGTCTTGTTCTTTAAAACAGGGGACAAGACCCTAATGAACCATCGACCCATGTCTCTTCTAAGCCATGCCTATAAGCTGATCTCAAGAGTGATCGCGAACCGTCTTGCGTGAAGACTTGATGACTTCCAACCACCGGAACAGGCTGGGTTTCGGAGCGGATACGGCACCATAGACCACATCCACACAGTGCTGCAGATTATACAGAAGACTGAGGAGTACAATCAGCCCCTGTGCCTAGCATTTGTGGACTATGAGAAGGCCTTTGACTCGATGAAAATCTGGTCTGTCCTGGAGTCCCTGCAGCGTTGCCAAGTCGACTACTACGATACATCCAAGTGATAAGATGTCTCTACGAAGCCGCCACCATGTCTGTCCAAGTACAGAATCAGCAAACAAGTCCCATACCGTTGCATCGTGGAGTGAGACAAGGGGACGTTGTTTCCCAGCAATTGTTCACTAATGCAATGGAGGACATGTTCAAGACGCTGAACTGGAAAGGACATGGCATCAACATTAATGGCGAACGCATCTCTCACTTGCGATTTGCAGACGACATCGTCATCATGGCAGAAACCCTGCAGGACCTACAACAGATGCTGAATGACCTGGCTGACTCTTCTATACGCATCGGCCTACGGATGAACTTGGATAAAACCACGGTCATGTTCAATGAACATGTTCTACCGGAACCGATTGCAATACACGGTGCCGTTCTCGAAGTTGTTCAAAAATATGTATACCTCGGGCAGACATTGCAGTTAGGTAGAAACAACTTTGAGGACGAGGTGAATAGAAGAGTTCAGCTAGGTTGGGCAGCGTTTGGGAAGCTACGTGAAGTCCTGACATCGTGGATCCCACAGTGCCTAAAGACGAAAGTCTTCAATCAGTGCGTCCCACCTGTGATGACATACAGAGCCGAGACGTGGACACTGACGGTACGGCTGGTCCACAGGTTCAAAGTCGCTCAGCGCGCTATGGAAAGGGCTATGCTCGGCGTTTCTCTGAAGGATCGCATCAGAAATGAGGTAATCCGACAGAGAAGCAGAGTTATCGACATAGCCCACCGGATTAGCAAGTTGAAGTGGCAGTGGGTTGGCCATATTTGCCGAAGAACCGATAACCGTTGGGATAGACGAGTTCTGGAGTGGAGACCGCGTCTAGGCAAACGTAGTGTAGGACGCCCTCAGGCACGATGGAATGACGATTTGCGCAAGGTGGCTGGCAGGAGCTGGATGCGAGTAGCCCAAGATCGATCTGAGTGCCGTGCATTTGGAGAGGCCTATGTCCAGCAGTGGACTATGATGGGCTGCTGATGATTGATGATGATGATGTTTAAAATTCACAAAGGGAAACATTAAACTTATAAATAATGCCATGCCTATGCCCATCTTCAAATTTCTTTATAAATGAACAAACGAATCAGTATACCCGTAGAGCCTGCTTCATAGGCGGACGTTCACTGGCTACGCAATCTGTGAGAATGGCGAGAGCGCGCGTTCGTAGCGTGCTCGACACATCGTTCACGCGCTCGTAAACAGCGCGAAGGATCTCCGCGTGGGGCACTGTGTGCGGTCTCTGGCGGAGTAGACCTGCCACATCTTCTTCCGTCACCTCTTGGTCATCCTGTGATGAAATTGACAAATCAAATTATATTGAGTAAGGGGCCGTTCAAGTATTACGTGAGCAGCAGGGGGGTCTTTGCTTTACTTATTTTTGATGACATGGGGGTCAAAATAGTGATTACGTTAGCATCACGGAGTCGAGTGTCCTGGACTGAAGACTGTTAATTGGAATTAATATATATACCAAAAATTCGGAAGAAGTTTGTTTTGTTCGTAATAGTACTTCATAAGATTATAATATTTGAACCTTACTCTATGTTGAATACTGTGTCAATAAAGTTCCTTTAAATGAATATTATATGCGTTAAAGTCCTCTATCCTAAGATTATTTAAGTACTGCTGCTCATGAAGATCATGAAAGCTCATGAATCAATAAATAAAAACAGAATACATTAAAGGAAAAATGCATATAGGTACGAATGTTTACGTAAGCATTGGAGGGGGGGGGGGGGAAATAATTGTAATAAAAACAACCGTGTATCCTTGTCATTCTCTATACATAATGAAAAGAAGAGAGTTTAGAGAATCATGCCAGAATCGCCACCAGTGTTAATCTAAATAACAAGCATGTTACAACTACTAATGTTATTGTGAGTTATCGGAATTTAACGTAGAAAATCATAAAGTGGGATCTTCGTGGCAATCCTAGACTGATATCAAAAGATTAACTTTAATCTATGTTTACTTGACTAGCGATCCGCCTCGGCTTTGTACGGATGAATTTTGTTTTAACGCGATTACATATAACTTATGCTCAGGAACAATGCAGTATGCTAACGCCGAAAGAATTTTTGAAATCAATCCAGTAGTTTTTATATTTATTCACTACAAACGTAAAAATAACCTATTTATAATAAATAGTATTTTAAAGGTTCTTTCTTCCAATCAGATGATTAAAAATTTACAGGTAATTTAAAACTTATGAAACTTATGTTTAGTTGGGCACACATTTTTGCTATTCCTAATACGCCAACTTACATTATTTGGCGGGATGTCTTGACTACTTTCATCATCTGTCGACATTCCAGTGGGCTGAGTCTCTGCTGTATCATTAGGTGTAATTACTGAGTCCCCAACTCCCGAATCTGACGCTTCCGATTCTTGATGTTCGTTGTCTTGAATTTTCGATGTATCTAAATAATTAAATGTATAGTATATTTTTGTAACTTTATAACAGAACCAAAGATGAAAATATCCTGTCCTCCATCTCTTAACAGAGGAAGTTTATAGTGCGCCGTTACTTTATTATGTAACTAGTGAGACTGATTAGACACTGTGTGTTGAAAACATAAGCGTTAGATTACAAAATTTTATTGTCTACTAAGGAAATTACAAAAATTTCGTTTCTATTGTAGGCACATGTTTACTATTTGATCTGCAGGGAAAAAATGGTGTACGTCAATAAAGATTTTTTTTCCCTGCAGGACAAATAGTAAACAGGACATTTAAGACATAAAACATGACAGTGGAAACGTACACAATGGGCGGCCTTATTACTAAACAGCAATCTCTTCCAGGCAACCCATGACAGTGAAATAAATAAATCCAACAAGCCAAAAATATTTACATTTTCCGATTAGTCAGAAAATAAGCTTTTTGGCATTTTTTACCTTGATTTTCATTATTTGTCGATTGCTCTGGGGTGACATCAGGTTTTTTTTCTTCAGGCTCATTATTCAACAAGTTCGACAGCATTTCCTGGTAACATAGATGTCGATTAAACTAATAGGGAATATTATGCATGTTTTCTTATATTTTTATTTGATAGTTTACAGCCCCTTTATACAGTTAAAAAAACAACATCGAAAAAATTGTATAGTGTCTAATAATAATTTAAAAATAGACACTGAACGCTTGGATGTGACGTCACAATACATTAAACCTACAAACAAGATCAATGATCTTACAAAATACTGTATTTTGCTTTCCATACCTTCACTACGGATGGAAGTTGAAACTTACGTCAATCAAATAGACAATATGTTTCATACATTTTTGGAAAAAAATTAAATGTCATATGGAAAAATTGCATTTGGTGTCTAGGTGGAACGCAGTTTTGTCATCTACGCACTCGCACTATAATCTCGTTGAATTTGGCCTATCATATGAACATCATGTTTGTTTGCTGTTAGGTATATATTTTAACGTCACAACCGTTCTCGTCGCTTTTCAAATATTTGAATTTCCCATAAGTTTAGCGCGGTTTTATTTCATTAATTTCTTGCTCGAAAGGCAATTTTACTAACAAAAATTTTCGGAAGGAGAACTTTGAAGTAATTTTTTTTTTATTTATTTATTAAGCTCACAAAACAAGTTACTATTATAAAAAAAAACCAAAGCAATTACAATAATAGAAACCAAACTGTAACTCTAAATATGTGGGCATAACATGATTAAATTTTTATGGGCTGAAGTTTACACTAAAGAAAGAAAGAAAAATATATAAATTGAATTTCAACAATTATCAAACAAAAAAAAAAGTCTCTTAAATAAAAGTAAAAATTAACCGATTTTTCTTTAACAAAGTATTAATCGTTGGATTTCTTTCCGAAATTCAAGGAGCCGACTACAAAAAATGTCCAAGGAAGAATGATCCCTATGCAGGTTATCGTATTGACGACACATATTTGTGACTGGATTATAAAAGGACGTGTTGTTTTTATAAACTTGCAGAGCAAATACCCTATGGGTGGGATTACGCGATCTAAATCTAATATTAAAACTAAGCGTTGAGGTAAGAAACGGTGAGTCGAGGAGTGAGTGTACAATTTTATATAGGTAAATTAACTGGTGATATTTGCGCCGGGATTCTAGGGAAGAAATTTTGAACCTTTCTAATTTCATCTCGTAAGATTTATATTTTCGACCTAAATTAAGCCTAAAACTGAGAATATTGAGAATCTTTCTTTGAACTCCTTCAATACGCTCAGCGTGTACATTGTAATGAGGAGACCAAACGACTGAAGCATATTCTAATTTGCTTCTCACTAATGAGAAGTATAGGTATAGCAGAGTTGACTGATTGGTGAATTCCTTAGTGCAACGTGAAATAAAACCAAGAAGTTGATGGCAATGGGAAATCAAATAGTCGTAGTGTGGACGAAACGTAAGACCCTCATCGAAATACACACCAAGATCCCTAATAACAGGTGTACGTTGTAGTGTAGAACCACTGATACGGTAATCAAAAATGAGTTTATTTTTAATAGAACCAAAGGATACAACATAACACTTGCTAGAGTTGATAAACATATGGTTATCGGAGCACCACCTATTAACTAGATCCAGATTGTGCTGCAGCTTAAGACAATCTTGGATATCCTGTATGGCATAAAATATTTTGAGGTCATCAGCATATGCAGCATGGACAAGTAAGACTTTCCGCTAAATCATTGATGAAAACCACGAAAAGCAAAGGCGCTAAGTGGGAGCCCTGTGGAACGCCCGAAGTAACTGAAGTACAAGACGAGAGATGTCCCTGCATACTTACAAGCTGACTCCTTTTATCGAGATAAGATGTCAGCCATCTTAACAGGTTGCCATGCACTCCATAGCTCTCTAACTTCTGACAAAGTAACCCGTGGCAAACCTTATCAAAAGCCTTCGAAAAGTCAGTGTATATGGAATTCACTTGATACCTTTTGGCAAAAGCAGAACACAAATAAGATTTATATTCTAAGAGTTTGCTTACTGTTGATCTATTAGCCAGGAAACCATCCTGATGAGGTGATAAAAATGGCTTGAAATATGAGTAAAGTGTCTCATAAAGGGTTTTTCATTAGGGACGCTACAAAAGTAGATCGATAGGGACAGCAAACGACGCCATTTTTTTCCCCGTTCTTTTGACATTTCTCTTCAGTAACGTTTGCCATTTCATCATGGAAAGATATACGATCCAACAACGAGTCGAAATTATTAAAATTTACTACCGAAATTCGGAGTCAGTGGCCTCAACTTTAAGAGCGCTACGTCCAATTTATGGTCGTCATAATCGTCCTGCCAGATCAACAATTGAGCGTCTAGTGGAAAAATTTGAATCCACAGGCACAGTACAAAATGTTCCCGTGCCAGTGAGACAAAGAAGTGCCCGTAGTGTCGAGAATATTGATGCCGCTAGCGCATCAATTGATGAAGACCCAAATCAGTCTCTCACACGTCGTTCTCAAGCGTTGGGCATCTCTGTGACGTCGTTGTGGCGAATTTTGCGAAAAGATCTTGGCCTACATCCTTACAAGATCAAATTGACGCAAGAACTGAAGCCGCTTGACCACCAGAAGCGTCGTATGTTCGTGAATTGGGCTGAGCAACAACTTGAAAATGATCCGGATTTTCATCGAAAAATCATCTTCAGCGATGAGGCTCATTTCTGGCTGAATGGCTTCGTCAATAAGCAAAATATGCGTTATTGGTCAGGCAGCAATCCACACGTACTCCATGAGTCATCATTGCATCCCGAAAAAATTACGGTTTGGTGCGGTTTATGGGCCGGCGGCGTCATTGGACCTTACTTCTTCCGTGATGATCAAGACCGGCACGTTACTGTGAATGGGAATCGCTACCGCTCAATGATAACCGAATATTTTTGGCCCGAATTGGATAATATGGACTTGGACAATATGTGGTTTCAACAGGACGGCGCCACAAGCCACACAGCGAATGTCACAATCGATTTATTGAAAACCAAGTTTGGTGAACGTGTTATCTCACGAAATGGCCCAGTCAATTGGCCGCCTCGGTCGTGCGATTTGACGCCGTTAGACTATTTCCTGTGGGGCTTCGTCAAGTCTATGGTCTATGCCAACAAGCCAGCGACGATTGATGAACTTCGTACGAATATCGAACGTGAAATTGCAGCAGTATCGGCCGATTTATGCTTGAAAACCGTCGAAAATTGGGTTCAGCGTCTGGACTTCTGCAAGCGTGCCCGTGGTGGCCATGCAAAAGAAATCGAGTTCCATACATAATGGCATAGAATGTACTTTAACAGGAATAAATTTTTTTATTGATATCCAAAATAGTTTTTGTTTTATTTAAAAAAACTTTTGTAGCGCTCTTATTGAAAAACCCCTTATATTAGAGATTCAAATAACTTGGCAAAACAAGACAAAATACTGATAGGTCTGTAGTTGCTGATTTGCTCTCTGTCACCAGATTTATATATGGGAATAACATATGCAGTCTTCCAAAGACTAGGAAAAATACCACACTCTAATGACTTATTAAAAAGTATGAACAGAGGAACGCTAAGCTCATCGCAGCAGCTCTTTATAAAGAGATTTGATCTGGGCCAGCTTCTTTACCAATATCAAGAGACCGTATTTCTGCTTTAATGCTATCATAGTTTATCCTTGCGTCTGACAAAAACAAACCACGATTAACTGTTTTGTTAGGCGAGTAGAGATAGCAATCATTTTTTTCATAAACGGAACTAAAGTATTTCGAAAACATTTCACATATCTCCTCCACATTTGAAGATGTGACGTCACCGTGTGTCATGGTTCGGGGTATGCCAGTGGATTTTCTTTTGTCGTTTACATATCTAAAGAAGTTTTTAACATTAAGTTTGACAGAACTTTCAACAGACTCGAGATAGGACCTATAACATTTGTTCAAAAGTAACTTACAACGAGCACGAAGCAAATCAAAAGAGTCATAATCACGAGGGTTACCATATTTTTTGTACCGCCTGTGATATTTAAGTTTTTCATTCATACAACGAATCAGTGCAGGACTAAACCAGAAAGGAAATTTATTGGATCTATTTCTCGCTAAGGGTGTATGTTTAAAAATGATTTAATTCAATATCTCGTAGAACTTACTGACAGAGTCATCAATATTTGAACAAGCCAATTATTCATTCCAGTTTACAGAATTCAGTTCATCACGAATATTAACAAGGTTGCATTTGTAGAAATTAGGTCTCTTACTGCGGGCTCGCGAGATCACACTAGAAGTAGTTTGGCAAGTAATATCTATAAGCAAAGGTGGATGATGGTCATCAATGTGACTCAATGAGTGTGCCTCATGAACGCTTAAAGAATTAGATGTGTATAAAACTAAGTCTAAGTAACGGTCATTTTTATTAGGATGTTATTAAACTGTTTGAGGTTACAGATATCCAGATCCACCATAATAAAGTTAATGTGAAAAAAAATAGACTTATTTAAATTACATGCATATTCCCTATTGGGATAATATTATTGTTATAATTTCTATTTACTACGCATTACTCACAAGTGCGATTTGACGATGTGATATCTTAGAAGTTGCCGATAATTTTAGCAACCATTTCACGGTACTGCGGTAGGTCTTGAGTGGTAATAAGCTCATTAATCCAATAACTAAAGAGACGCGAGCAGATCTCACTTCAGCACGTTCCTAAAATGTTATAGAAACGTAAAAAATCACAATACTACTGTATGTTTCTGGGGTTCCTCTGCTTTTCCTGTTTCAAGAAGGACAAAAGAATAACGAACCATACCTAATCCACCATCAGGACTTGTGGATTTGTTGGTTTAAAAAGACCTCTGACCTGACTGCAGGCATACTAAATCACAGATTTAGTGTGTTGCGATATGCTTGTCTTTGTCTTGCAACGCAATGAACAGGATAAGCATACGTATAGGCACCAGTCCGTTGTCTGGTAAAACGGATAAAACAATGGCTGTTAACAAGAGACCTTAAAGGTCTTTAAAAAGCACAGAGCTAATACTAATGTTAGTCTTGTTTTTACCCGACTGCGCAATGCAAGAGCGCGAAGCGCGACGCGCAGACAGGGTATAGTGTTTAACAGTCTATATATGTATGTTTGTTCCTTTGTGGCAAACTAGAGACCAAACGCCTGAACCGATTTTGATGATTCATACATCAATCGATTCGTCTCAATCATGGGAGTGCTACTAAAGATATGATAGTAATCAAAATTCAATATGAGCAAAATTGGGCGCCATGCGCCAAAATGGCGCCTAATTTTGCTCATATTGAATTTTGTGACAAAGTAAAAAAAAAAGTTGACAAAATATGTCGAGTGGTATATCATTATTTAGATAATCTAAAATCAGGTTCCTGACACCATTTTTTGAAGTTATACTTCTTTAGGCGCGTTATGAAAAAATGATGAGAGTGAAATTTTAAGATGCGCGCGCATCACTGTAACACAAAATTTTAACAGCATGAAGTTGATCGCTTTAGCGACCAACTTCATGCGTTACTTTTGCGTTTACCGCACATTAAGAAAATCTACCAACAAAATAGAAATAGAATCTCTATTTTGTGGGTGCTAACGACTGCATTGTGAAGGCCTATCAAAAGTATTTATTAATCTGGAACAACGGAACCAAAGCGCGATTCAGGAGACTACAGCGCCATCTCTTGACCATTGGTGTAGTAGAACCAAAAACCACATCTTTATTGAAGTTATACTTCTTTAGGCGCGTTATGAAAAAATGATGAGAGTGAAATTTTAAGATGCGCGCGCATCACTGTAACACAAAATTTTAACAGCATGAAGTTGGTCGCTTTAGCGACCAACTTCATGCGTTACTTTTGTGTTTACCGCACATTAAGAAAATCTACCAACAAAATAGAAATAGAATCTCTATTTAGTGGGTGCTAACGACTGCATTGTGAAGGCCTATCAAAAGTATTTATTAATCTGGAACAACGGAACGAAAGCGCGATTCAGGAGACTACAGCGCCATCTCTTGACCATTGGTGTAGTAGAACCAAAAACCACATCTTTATTTTTTGTAATAAAGTAACAGTTATAGGTAGGTATTCATATTTATCCACATGTTTCTAGTTTGTATATTCGGAATACGTGTTTGAGTTTCATACAAGTGCAAATCACATATGTTCTAATAAATTATATTCAGTAGCGATTTTAATTGAATATTTTGATTATTTATTTATTTTTCAAATTAAAACTGAACTTTATTGACTGTGTCATTTCCAGACTTTGTATTAATTTATTGTAATTAATTATTTGCATGCAATTAAAAACTAATTTTAAACGATACCAAAGAAGGATAACTTCTCACGCGCCTACATAAGTACACGCACCCATTTTTTTTATTTTATATGATCGTTTAGGATCTACAACGCTTTAAAGTTGTATATTAACCACTTGCGCTTTTAATTTCAATCTTACGCTTGTATGGATCTTTGTTACTCTTTCACCTAAAAAATACTGAATGGATTTTAATGAAACTTAACAGTAAAATAGCTCATATATGATAATAACATATATATAATAATTTATGTAGTTATTGAGTGAATTGACCAAAATATAACAATAAGTGTCACATAAGACGGAAACAAATCTCCCATCTGCGATCCGTTTTGGCCTGCACCGCAAAAACAATAAAAGTTACATGAATGTAATGTAGAGAGAAAATGTATCTCTTAAATAGTTCTAAACAAAAGTCCGTGACATTATCTATTTTTAATGTGTAAGCCATTACCGCTAAAATAGTGAATCAAAACTAAAATATTATTTGATATCTATTTCCAAAATGCACATTTTGTATTAACCAATAATTTTTTATCAAAACAAATACTTTTATCGCTTTTGATATTTGAAAGATGATAAACTTTGCATTTTACGCTATGTCATTTCGGCAAATATTTAAAATTTAGTTTTAAATTGTAACTTACAAAGTGATAGCGCGGTGTACTATGTAGGAGTAGACTGCGGGAATACTAAGAGAAAAAAATTAATTTAGGTGACCAATTATGCGAGACCCATTATTGAAAAATATTATGTATTCTTTAATATCTAATGGGTCCCGACTGTTAAAGCAGCTTTGTTCCTTATTAACAGAATTATAGACTACTGGACTTGTTTGTTTCTTTTCAGTTTTTATTTGAAGTTTAAACAAGCAGTCGGGTTTTTTGATTTTTTAAATTTACCTTTTTATTTTTGTATTATCCAAGGAAGTTGAAGAAAAGAAATAAATACGAGAAAAATTGTGAAGCTGTTTAGTGTTTAATTAAATGATGAGAAATATAAGCAATACAGTTTACTCACCAATCCATCTAAAGTATAACATAAATGCTGCAGAAGAACACTATAGCCAGATAATGCAGCTTTACCATATTTGCTCAATAGAAGACCTGAATAAGTGACGTATGATGCTCTGACAAGATTCTAAAACATAAACGCACATTTAATTGAATAACTTGCTCGAAATAATACTTTTATTTTAACATGCATATAGTGTGATATAATAAAGACTTAGGGACAGAAAAGGCGGTTGTACCAGTTAGGTACTGCAAAAGCTAGTCAAAATTAGTTTTAATTCAGAATCAGTTTAGTCTGTCTGATTTATCTATACAGTCAAGTATACAGTCACTAGGTGTCGAGTTGCGGAAACAGCCGTACTACTAAGACTAAGACAGGCAGCAGACGGGACTCGAACCCGCACCCTTCGCAATCCGGGCGAATGCACTGACCAATTATGCTACCGCGGCCCTGACGTAACGCGTCGAAATTCCTCTAGCCATTCTTAAGCTGCAAGGCAGCGCCATCTCTTCGCATTATGGGTAACCCACAATGTCAAATGAATACTTTTACAAGTATTAAACATTTGAAAGAAGATATAGCAATTAAGTTATAATTTTTATTATTTTTTAAAGCATGTAACTGCTTGATGTTTATGATATCTAAAGAAAATATAACTAGAAATAATTTTTGCTAGAGGAATTTCGACGCGGTCCGTGAGGGCAGCGGTAGCATAATTGGTTCGAGGTTGGGTTCGAGTCCCGTCTGCTGCCTGGTCCGCGTGGATTTTTTTCTATTTATATTTTCTTTTAAATGTTTAATGCTAAATTCCAATCTAAGTCATAACCAGTGATTGGATAGCCATGGTATTATTTAACTTAATAATTATTGAGTATCGATAACGAAGGGCTACTATCACTATTATTATAGTAAAAAAGATTATTATCAAATTTTAAAAAAAGGTGGATAGTGCGTGCTGGAGCAGACATTACTCGTTAATTTTAAGCAGACGTTCAGTTGCAAAGACTACTTAGCCGCGCCCATTCTCGTCAATAGACATGAATATAGAATAGATAGGAATCACATGTTGTTAGAGGCCAGCGTTTATCCGGTGTGCGCTGTTTTCTCAATCGATCGAAGCCTATCGCAATCGAACGACACAATCGCGCTATGGGAAAGTGCTTTGCTTCAAAAAGTTTTATAGAATATATCACCACGCGCGCGACTTGCGGCGATTATTCGTCATTCAAAAATCTGTATAAAATTATTCTCAATCAATTGCCTCTTTAAATTTTGATTAATACTGATTTTACTTTTAAAATATATACACACATTTGCGTTTTTGCTGTCAACAGATGCAGACACCAACTTCGGAAGAATGCATTTGAAGAGTAATTTAATTGCTTCTATATTTGGTTCTCCGTTTGATTCACATATCAAAATATCTATCATTTCATAGATTACTCTTGATATATTTGCAAGCTCTATTTTATCTGAAAAGAAAATTAGTTATTCAATCTTTGTCTGTCCATTACAAATATTATTAATTTACTTTTCTTATTTAGTAATCAATAATGAATTCTTATTGTATTAATGCTTGTTTTGCCTTTGAGGGCCAGGTGTTGCCCGTTTAACAAACACTGTTGATTTTTCAATAGAAAACGCAATTACTATTTATATTGTTAATATAAATTAAATCACCACCAATGCACCAATTAAATAGACTGCCGCAAGGAAAAGTTTACTCTGCTGCCCAATTTAATAATCTTGCTGTCCAAATAATTATTTTGCAGTGTGTCAGTTTACTTTGCTGATAAATAATAAGACAAGCTGCCTGCTTCTGTTCAAATTACTGACCATTATCATAATGTATTACCTTAATATTTATTTATTTATGCTAATGCTATTGATATATTTAAGCTTAGTTTTTCTCAAAATATAATCAAAGTAAATTATTTGTAATTTTTAATTAAAAAATACACTCACCAATACATTGCGTTCCTAAATGGAATGCATAGAAGTGAAAACATATTATAATATCATATTACCATGACAAAATCTTTCAGTTTGTTTAGTATTAGCAGTGTATCCTAGCTGCTACTTAAATAATATTAAAGCATAATAATAATTATTAACAAACATGTGCCTAACAATGTAGTTCCTGTTTTAGTAATTGTTTCTGTTAATTGTCAAAGACTTTCTCCAATTGTAGCCTCTCTACATTGTGAAATTCTAGTCCAACTGCTTAAATATATTTATATAATAATAACTTGATTCATATAAACCTCATGCAGAAGTGCCAATAACATATTTTTACTATCTAGGTAAGGGTGCCAATGAAGTGAACTCCATGTAATCAAAACAAATATTATAAATGTGAAAGTGTGTGTCTGTCTAACAACTCTTCATTCTTAAGCCCCTGAACCAATTTAAATGAAATCCAGTAGAGGTAGGTTGAGTCATATTATAGTTTTTATTCTAGAAACCATCCTTTAAAGAGGTGAAAATGGGGGTGGCGGTTTGTATGGGAAACAAAATTTCCACTCAAACAGTCACCTCCTAGTAAAATATACATAGTGGAGGTGGGGATGCCGATAGAAAAGCCCACAAAAATTCACCAATCATCTTTTTTAAATGATAGCTAGGAATATGATTTTCCAATGAGCTAAATAAAATATTAAATGTTTATTCGACAGTGGAAAAGCATAATCACTTACACGCTATACATTACACTATAATAATACACTTAGCTTTACATAAAAAACTGTAATTAAGTTTATTTTCAAGCAACACCAAAGTGGAGTATAAGCTATTCTGATTTTCCACTGTCCTTATATTACTATTTGTTATAAAGTAAATATACAATATTAATAATATTTACCAATATTAAGTTTGTTAACAATGGCTCCTCCAGTTATATCAACTAAGTTACTTAGTATATCTTCAAAATTCATGTCTCTTGAATTAAGTTGCAGTTTTTCTACTATGGCTCTTAGATCCATTACAAAATTCCTGAGCTCTCTTATGACAGAGTTGACCTCACGAGTTAATTCCTTTGTATTAAAATAATGATCCTCATTATCGCACATAGCTTTAGGAAATCCAAGACAACCAAGTGATTGTGCAAATAATTGAGAATGGTAAATATGATAAGCCTTGTAACCCGGGATAGATAAAAGCTTGTAATATAAACGTGAGGCTAGTAAAGCATTGTTTCTGTATTCCTTTGTAACAAGGTTTTTACTTCCATAATCTATATAATAAGCAATGATAGCCAGGAGTTTCTGATGCTCCACACGGTTAGATAAAGCTGGCCAAGATTTTTCATCAACGGTTTCTTCTGCATGGAGCCATTCATCGATTGATTTCATCAATTCTTTAAAAACGGAGCGTATTTCGATTGATTCAATGGCACTTTCATATTCAGGAGATAATTCTCCAAATTCAAGAAATTCTGAATAGTAAATTCCTTGTACCCAGTCATCGTTAAGTTTGTCTAGATGTAAATTGTTCAGTTCATATAATACCCGATTCATTATAATTCGAGACCGATTTTATTTTAATAACACATAAACTTGCGCTCTAAGCAATAAAAGATACTAAAGTATCAATTGGAAAATTAATGTAGGAAGGTTGTGTTGTATCTTGTGTGTGTGGTTGTGTTCTGTGACTTCTGTGTTTGAAATGTAAACAAAACAAAGATTCAGTGTGGCCAGATTAAATTTATGGAAAACACCGAAGCAGCTTAAAAAATATTGAAATATACCTCTGAGTACTTAAACCTATGGGGATGGCATACCTACGAAAAATGCAATTAGTCATTGGAAAAATGTGTATACCTACCTAAAGTTACTGGGAAACGTAAATGGCGCCTTTAGAATTAGATTGTGCAGCCCAAAGAGTAGGATTATAGTGTCGAATTTAGCAGGATTATCTAAACTTTTAACTAAATTTAATATGTCTGTCCTTTTCATTCTGTTAAGAGAATGACAGAGAAACACTGTTGTCAAATTTAAGTTTAGCTCTAGAGAATCACACCAGAATCGATACCTATATGATGCTGCCCCAAGGCTGACCCATCTTTGAGCATTTACGACTGGAGAGGGCATGGACGGGCGTCCCCTTCGCCAAAACGGTCGTGGCCAGTAGCCATGATCGTTATATAAAACTAGTTCACGCGCGACCGCTACCATTTTGGATCATTCCGCAGCGTGAGTCGGAGCTCCCACAAAAATGGAAAATTATATTGTTTTCCCGCGCAAAAACCGACCTGCCACTTCAATCTTGCTGAAACATGATGTTTCCTATCATATATAATTGTAGTTTTAAGTTCTAAAAAGTTAGCATTCTGGTATAAAATTCAATCAAAAGAAAAGGGGCGAAATCACGAATGAATGACAAAAATAATAGGTAGAAATTCATAGCGATGTGACGAAAAATGAATGGAGTGAAAAAATGGTATTGTGGCGACTTTGCACCATGTTGTTGGTCCATGTCGCCATACAGCCAGTGTCTATGGATATTCCGTAGGCACTGGCACATTAGAAATTAAGTTTTATAATTATGTTCTTTTTGATATTTTCTGTTGAATTTTTAATTGTCTTTCTAAAAATAGACTTCAGAGATAAAAATTTCGTCCGTACAAATAGTATTTTATAATTGTGAATATTTTCCAAATATAGTGCTGATAAGTTGACGTATCGTCGTTTAATTACTCCGTTCCGCTAGTGGGGAGCAGCGGGTTAACATCTCTAAATTGGTGACCCCAACAAGTGAAGAAATAAATAAGACGAACAGGAGTTACACGGCAAAGGCCTTCCGTATTATTGGAAACTTACTCGTATGTACATAATACTATCAAGTCAACTACAGGGGTGAGTTTTCCCATCATTACTACGGCCGGTAGTCAACGCATCAGCGATCGCTCGCAATTCGGGCACACGCTGCTGGAAATACACCACAGATGTCAATACATTCTGGGACGAGAGCGCCGTGACGTGACGCCGCCGTGTTAACATCTTACTGCGTCATCATTTACGATAGTGTTTTGTTTGTATTTTTGCTATTTTTCTATCTTTGTTTTACGTTTTAACTTTCAAAATAATTATAAATATTACTTTTATAATGCAATGTTTTTTTGAGGATTCTTGAATGAATATTTTAATTTTGTTTAGTTTAGTTTTGTGTCCGTCTCCTAAGCACGTGTCTTCCTGTCCGAGATCTGATCTGATTAAATCTATCTATACATACTTTCAGACCATCTGTCCGTAGCTTTCCTTCTACGGCTTTTACTAGCACGTCATCCGCTGCCAGCATGGAGCAAACAGTGAAGTCGATGATGGAGCGACTCGATGAATTGAGCAGATCTATAGCTGCTTTAACGAAAGCCCAATCCCAGCGCCCACCCCGCGCCCACTCCTCTTCAACGAGTGGGTCTTCGCGCAGCACTACTCTGGAGAGACGCAAGACCTTGTTGGTACCACATGAAGTTTGGTACGAAGGCAGTCCGGTGCAACAGCCCTTGTAACTGGAAGGCGGAAAACGCGGAGAGCAATCAGTAACGGCGGCAACTGATTGCGAGATTGATTCCAGCTCTGGCCGCCGCTTCTTCATCACGGACAAAGATACGAAGCAGCAGTTTTTAATTAACACCGGGTCCGACTTATGCTGCTACCCCTTCCGCTGGCTCACTAGACCGAGGAAACCCACCGACTACGAGCTCAGCGACGCGAACGGGAGTGGTATCAAGACCTACGGTACTGTAAGCCTCTCGCTCAACCTTGGTCTCCGCCGTAGCTTCGTGTGGACTTTTGTCGTCACCGACGTCAACACAGCCATCATCGGTTCGGACTTCCTGTCCCACTACCACCTGCTTCCCGATTGCCGATCCAAACGCTTGGTTGATGGCACCACCGGCTTATCGGCTGTAACAGCTGTTGTCACTTCGGAACAACCCAGTGTTAAGGCTGTACTTTCGGAAGACGACGAGTTCAAAATTCTGCTTTTAGATTTCCCGGAAATTACCAAACCTCCTGGTCTTCCGAGAGTCGTCAAGCACAACACCCTCCATTATATTAAAACCACGGACGGTCCTCCGGTCTCCTGTTATCCCCGCCGTCTCGCTCCACAGAAACTAGCGTCCGCTAAGAAAGAGTTCGAAGACATGGTTCGCTTGGGTATAGCAAGACCTTCTGACTGTCCGTGGTCTTCTCCTCTTCATATGACATTGAAGAAGGACAACAGCTGGCGTCCCTGCGGTGACTATCGTAGTCTAAACGCCAGGACCATTCCAGACCGGTATCTGGTGAGGCACATTCACGACTTCGCGAACGGCCTCAGTGGGGCAACCATATTCAGCACCTTGGATCTAGTAAAAGCTTACCATCAAATCCCAGTTGCTAAAGAGGATATTGCCAAAACAGCCATCACCACCCCGTTTGGCCTCTTCGAATTTCCGTTTATGACCTTTGGTTTGAGAAATGCTGGTCAAACTTTTCAGAGATTCGTCGATGAGGTCACAGGGGGTCTGGATTTCTGCTTTCCTTATGTTGATGATGTGCTTGTTTTTTCCCCTAATGGCAGCTGCCATAAGGAACACCTCAAGATCCTCTTCAGCCGCTTCAAGGAGAATGGGGTGGTTATTAACAACTCCAAGTGTACTATTGGTGCCAAAGAGGTTAAATTTCTTGGGTATATCGTGAACGCCGAAGGTGTACGCCCACCACCAAGCCGTGTACAGGATCTTTTAAATTTCCCCCCACCCCAAACAGTCCAAGGCATGCGGAGGTTCTCGGCATGATCAATTTTTATCGCCGTTTTATTCCGCACGCCGCTAAATATCAGGCTCCATTAATCGACGCCATTGTCTCCACAAACAGTAAAGGTGCGAAACCATTCCCTTGGACACCCGAGTTACTGGAACGATTCGTAGAATGCAAAAGGAGCCTCAGTGACGCCACTCTTCTTCAACACCCTGTGGGTGGTGCCGAGCTTGGCCTCTTCACTGACGCCTCTAATGTCCATGTCGGATCCTGCCTTCAGCAGAAGACCGACGGAGAGTGGGCTCCTCTTGCCTTCTTCAGCAAAAAGCTGACTCCTCGGCAGTCGCAATGGCCTGCATATTATAGGGAACTCTTGGCAGTGTATGAAAGCGTACAGCATTTTCGGCATATCTTAGAGGTCGAACACTGTACCATTTACACTGACCACAAGCCACTGCTGTACGCCTTCGTACAACGCCGGGATAAACTTCCCCCTCCCCAATTGAACCAGCTGTCATTTATTAGTCAATTTACGACTGATATTAGACACATCAAAGGGGAGGACAATGTAGTGGCAGATGCTATGTCTCTCATTAACGCTGTTTCCTTAGAGCAAGACTACACAGCTCTTGCGCAGGCACAGCAATCTGACGAGGAGTTAGCAGACTCGAAAGACGCGTGGAATTTGAAATTGGAACTGATTCCGATCCCTGGTCCCGACGTCACCTTGATTTGTGACACGTCGACAGGTCGGCCGAAACTTTATTTAACACCGCAGTTTCGGCGCGCCGCCTTCGACCGTTGTCACAACTTGAGCCACCCTGGGGCACAAACATCTGCTCGTTTGGTATCTAAGCGCTACGTTTGGCCAAACATAAACAGAGATTGCCACGAGTGGGCACGGCGCTGCATTCAGTGCCAGAAAAACAAGGTGTCACGGCACAACAAGTCACCACCTGGTCAATTCGACCTTCCATCCGGTCGCTTCCGCTATATTCACATCGACATCATCGGTCCTCTTCCATTCTCCAACGGGTTCAGCTACTGCTTGACGGCTATCAATCGTTTCACCCGTTGGCCAGAGGCTTGGCCGATGTCTTCGATAACAGCGGAAGAAGTTGCCGAGAAATTGATGCTGGGGTGGATTGCACGATTCGGGGTACCTAGTGTCATCACCACTGATCAGGGGCGTCAATTTGAGTCATCCTTGTTCCAAGAGCTTATGCGCTTTTGTGGCTCCAAACGCGTTCGCACCACTAGCTACCATCCCTGCGCTAATGGCATGGTGGAGCGAGTTTATCGGCAACTGAAGGCAGCCCTTCCCCCCTAGCATGAGTAACAAAACGCGATATGATAAAGCGATTTATCGACATTAACTGTCAAACTACAATGGAGTTTGACAGACAGATAAACTCGCTCCACCATGCCATTAGCGCAGGGGGATAACAGGAGACCGGAGGACCGTCCGTGGTTTTAATATAATGGAGGGTGTTGTGCTTGACGACTCTCGGAAGACCAGGAGGTTTGGTAATTTCCGGGAAATCTAAAAGCAGAATTTTGAACTCGTCGTCTTCCGAAAGTACAGCCTTAACACTGGGTTGTTCCGAAGTGACAACAGCTGTTACAGCCGATAAGCCGGTGGTGCCATCAACCAAGCGTTTGGATCGGCAATCGGGAAGCAGGTGGTAGTGGGACAGGAAGTCCGAACCGATGATGGCTGTGTTGACGTCGGTGACGACAAAAGTCCACACGAAGCTACGGCGGAGACCAAGGTTGAGCGAGAGGCTTACAGTACCGTAGGTCTTGATACCACACCCGTTCGCGTCGCTGAGCTCGTAGTCGGTGGGTTTCCTCGGTCTAGTGAGCCAGCGGAAGGGGTAGCAGCATAAGTCAGACCCGGTGTTAATTAAAAACTGCTGCTTCGTATCTTTGTCCGTGATGAAGAAGCGGCGGCCAGAGCTGGAATCAATCTCGCAATCAGTTGCCGCCGTTACTGATTGCTCTCCGCGTTTTCCGCCTTCCAGTTACAAGGGCTGTTGCACCGGACTGCCTTCGTACCAAACTTCATGTGGTACCAACAGGTCTTGCGTCTCTCCAGAGTAGTGCTGCGCGAAGA